GATTTAATGTCCTCTGCGAGACATGCCTCTTGGTACACCCTTCCAAGGACGCCCCTCAGCCTCTCAGCATTGACGAGGCCGTGGCAGCCATCCAGGTCCAAGTCTTTCCAGAGGCTTTTGCCGTGGAAGACCTCCCTCCGCCTGACCTTGGGGCTCGTGAGCTTCAGGGTAGGCTGTGTGGCGACAGTAGTTGTTTTCGTTATGCTATCAAAGATCTGTCTCGATCAGGCTGGGGAGTGGTCTGGCTCAGTGAAGCTGGAGGTATTCTAGCTAGTGTGTCGGGCCTCTTGGCAGCTCGCTCCCCCAGACTAGTATCGCTGCAGAGTTTGCGGCTCCTGTTGCTGCTGCGCCGCTACTGGTAGAGGATTCGGTTTTCCACTCTGACTGCCTTGCGGTTGTGGACCATGTTTCGAAGTCTCCCAGGGACCGCCTGCACCCTTCTCGGCCTTACAGTGGGCTGGTGATGCAGGCTGGCTCTTTTGGGCAGGGATGTTTGCGGTCAGTGGTCAAGGTTCGAGCCCACCAGCAGGGTGATGAAACCCTGTCGGTGGAAGATAGACTGCACATCGTAGGTAACAACGCCGCTGATCAAGCGGCGAAAGAAGGAGCAGCCCTTCACCCTCGCCTCTCGAACGCAGAGGCTGAAGGGATCAATGTTGTTTTGTGCCGTTTCGAGTGCTGCGACCTGGAGAGTTGGCCTCGGACCGACCTTGGGGGTGTTGCTCGTGCTTCTGAGGCTCCTTCCCCTTGTGCGAAAGATCCGAGGCCATCACACGAATGGGAGCTAGTTGGTATACCGCCCCGCTCGTTCTGGCAATGGTTTCGTTCTTCGATGCGCTCGTTCGCTGTCGAAGCCTTCTCCTGGTGCCTCCACACTGCTGCCTCTTATTCAGCCTCAATCGCTTCGCGATCTGAGTCACAGATGCGTTGTATTTGATTGCGTCGATTCTTTGTTTGCACGTGCCAACGGCGTGGCTCATTTACCAATGTTGGCAGGGTCGCTAAACTCGCGGCCGTATGCGTGAAACGTGCGAGAGTTGGAGACAGTTGGGCAAGGGATCCCACCCCAAGAGGCCAGGGATCACAGTCGACGTCTCAACTTCATGCCCCCTGTAGAGGGGACCGGTGGCAGCGGATGTCAAACATCCTCCTCCTCCCCCTCCACCACCTCCTCCTCCTCTGGGGAAGGACATGTCTCTTCTGGGGGGGCGAAGTGCGAAGGAGAAGGCCTTCGCAGAAGGCCGCGGGACTTCTCTCAGACGCCCTCGCGCCTGCTGGGAGGTTCTCGGCGTCTTCGGGGAAGGCTCAGGGAACTTCTCAGGAGGCTGGGGAGGGGGGGGACTTCCGAGCCTCCCGAGAGGGCCCGCCCCTTCTCGCTTCCCCCCCCGGGCTCGCCGCCGAAGAAGGCAACGCCTTCGGGCCCACTTTGCGGCAGGACTGGCGGGGGGAGGTCGTGCGCAGCCGTCGGTCCCCTCGGGCTGCTTCCGGCGGCCTCCGACCCGATTTGCTTCTCGGCTTCGGCTTCGGCTCGCTCGCTTCCTCCGCCTCCCGTGGGTCGTGGGGGTGTTTGCCAAGTCAGCTAGGCAAGCCGAGGCTCGAGGTGCGGTGGACCTCCCTGCCACGGGACTGGCGATGAGTCCCCCCCTCTCGTCTCTTTCCTCCCGCTCTCGCAGCCCGAAGGAGGGTCGCCGGCCAGCCCTGCAGACGTTGGCATTTGTTTTGTGCTTCCTTTGCCTGTCTCGGTCACATTCCCCCCTGAATGGGGCAGCTTGGGTCCAGCCAAAATGAGACAGAGCTGAGTGACCACGAGTTCTATCCAAGAGGCTTACGCCGTTCCGCCGACCCTCAGAAGAAGGATGAAGTCAGCGGGTGAGGCCTTTTAGGGCCTGTTACGGGACCCTCTGGCGGCCTCTTTTGGGCCTCTAAGGGGCCTCTAAGGGGCTCTTGGGGGTTTCTTGGGCGCCCACTGGCGGTCTCGGGCGCTCTATTGTGGCGGAGGGCTCGGAATACCAGTTCGAGTTGCACCTTTTGGCCCCCTCTTGGAACCTTGTTGGGGCTCTATTTGGGCCATCTTGGGCGCCTCTTGGGCCGTCTTGGGACCCCTTTCGGGCGTCTTGGGGCACTCTTGGGGACCTCTTGGGCCGTCTTGGAGCGATCATGGGGGCTTCTTGAGCCGTCTTGGACGCTGTTGACCAAGAATGGGAACATGTTCAAATTATACGTTTTGCCCACGGATGTTGACGCTTATTGCCTCTTGGGGCCTTCTCGGGGGTCGTCTTGGAGCCGCCTGGGGCCGTCGTTGAGGCCTCTTGGACAGTCTTGAGGCTATCCTGGTCGACTTCGAGGACTCCTGTGCGTGTTGGGACCTTGCTTGAGCAAGCGCAGATCGGTTCTTAGGCATCTTGGAGGCCACAGGGTGTAGAAATGGAGGCTCCGGAGGCCCCAGGAGAGCGTTGGTGAGCTCCTCGGGGCCCCCCCCCGCCCGCCCCCCGCCCCTCTTGTCGAATTTCAGACCCAAGGGGAGGGGGAACGGGGGAGGAGGGCAGCCGATCAGCTCACACGCCCATGCACCCCCGCCAAGCGGGAGTCGGCGGCTGTTCTTCTGTGTGCCTCTCTCTCTCTGTGGTACGGTGGGGCGTTCGTTAAGGAATGTGCCCAGGAGGCTTCAGACCCTGAAGGATTCCTGATCTGATGAGGGCGGCGGTGATATCCATGGCCGTTCCACGATTCGAGTTCCACCAGCTTCCAGACCATGGATTTCTGATCTAAGGCTTGTGTACGCGTTCATGCGTCGGGCGTTTCGGCCGGGCTGGCTCCGCTCCTGCTACTCAGCAGGCTTCCGGCGCCCGCATGCAGGAGCTGCCACTGACGTGTATTCTTGATATTTCTGCCGTCCTCCGGGCCGCTTCCTCCTGGCTTACCTCCTCCCAGTCCCGCGTCTTCAATGGGAAACCCGCCTGATCTGATAGCTCCGCCGTCTGGTCGCTTGATGCTCGAGGGCATGCAGGTTTACGTGGTGAGGCACGGAACTTTGAACCTCGCCCCAGGCTGGAACCCCACTTTGCGGGCCTTGTGCGTCGTCGCCCTCCTCCTTCCCCTCCTCCTCCTCCTCCTCCTCCTCCTTCCCCTCCACCTCCTCCTCCTTCCCCATCCTCCTGCTTCTTCTCCTCCTCCTCCTCATCATCCTCCTCCTCCTCTTCTACTCCTTGCGCCGCCTGCCCCATGCCGAGCACCCTAATCTGCTGGCTGTCCTTCGTCCTGGCCCCTTGGTCTTCCCATTTTTGTTTGTCCGCTATTCCTGTTCTTTCTGTCTTCCTGCTGGTTGGGTCTCTCTGCGGTTCCTCGGATGCGGTGCCTGCCCGGCCACCATATTATGAAATTTTGGCGTGCTGCTCGGGATCGCCACGACCGCATTGTCACGCGTACTGCATATTAGATTCGGCCGCTCTGCCTTCATAGTGTTTCCTTGTCTCCTGTCGAAAAAACAAGCTAGTCTCTGGTCAGGGGCGGCTTGGAATGATAAACCTAGGCTTCTCCCAGAGGTGTTGTGCAGCCTAGCGTCGTCAGAGACTCGGCCGAGCGAAATTCTGAGCTTTCTTTCATCATTGTGAGCAGAATCGACATCCTCGTTCGGCTACGTTCTATAGAAAGCTATCGAAGATGCCTACGGCGAACCATCGCTGCCTCCTGCCTTTTGGAAACGTCCATGCGGCTAAACGTTGGGCCAGAGTCTGGCCAAGCTGTTGGACTCTCCTCCTCCATTCCTTCTCCTTATAGATAACTCCTCCCTGTCGCACCCCGAGGCAAATTTTCAGGGCGGGCCGGGCGTTTCGCCTGAGACTTCCTCACCCTTTATGATTCTGAAGCTTAAAAATTGACAACCTATTCACATATGGAGGGCGGGTGGTTTTCAACATGTGGCTCTCGCTTTAGCGCCGCGCACATTCGTTTTAATCATCTGCCAGAGCTTCATGGATTGAGGGCGGGTGGTTTTCAACATGTGGCTCTCGCCGCAGCGCCGCGCACACTCGTTTAAAACAATTGCAAGAGTTGCACGGTCGTTTTCAAAATGTGGCTCTCGCCTTAGCGCCGCGCGCATTCGTTTTCAAACTTTGCAAGATAGTTTCACGGATTGAGGGCGGGTGGTTGTCAAAATGCGGTTCTCGCCTGAGCGCCGCGCACGTCCGTTTTAAACGTTTGCAAGAATTTCACGGATTGAGGGCGGGAGGTTTTCAACATGTGGCTCTCGCCGCAGCGCCGCGCACATTCGTTTAAACAAATGCTAAAGTTTCGCGGATTGAGGGTGGTTCTTTTTCAACATGTGGTTGTCGCCTTAGCGCCGCGCACATCTGTTCTCGCAATTTGCAAGGGATTCACGGGTTCCCATTATCAGCGTATCAGAAATGGTGTTTTGGAAGGGTTCAGGATTATGCGGGTGCAACAGTCATGTTGATTCGCGTGGTTCACGTCCCAAAAATGGCGCTCTGGCACGATTCCGGATCGTCGAGACGCAGCAGTCAGGTTGATACGTGGCGTTGACATCCCGAGAACAATGTTTTGGCATGTTTTAGGATCTTAACGGTTGTCTGCACTGAGGCAATGCCCTCAATGGGAATGAACCGCTGTGGGGGCCTAGGAAGAGGTAGCTTGGAGGGAGGGTTAATTCCAACATCGTTAATGACTTTTTGGTTTTACACTGGTCCTTCTCCTCCTTCTCCTCCTCCTCCATCTCCTCCTCCTCCTCCTCCTCCATATCCTCCTCCTCCTCCTCCTCCTCCTCCTCCTCCTCCTCCTCCTCCTCCTCCTCCTCCTCCTCCTCCTCCCCCTGCTCCTCCTCCTCCTCCTCATCCTCCTCCTCCTCCTCATCCTCCTCCCCTCACGTGCATCCTTCCTTCTCCACGTATCTTCCCTCGTGCTCCTGATTGGCCCGCCTCCTGGACTCCTCGCTCCACTTTATGCCATTCTCCTCCTCCCCGTCCTCCTCCCCAGCTGTACCCCAGGATGATGGGCTTCTTGGTTTACCAGTCCATGAAAACGAACGTGGCAGCGCAGGCACAGCAACGGGAGCAGGATCGCCACGGCAGGGTCTTGTGCGCACGTGCTGGGAGAATTGCTCCGGGAGGCTTGTGGGCTGCAGGTGGACGGATGATGAGGCCGAGGAAAGGGGAGGAGGAGGAGGAGGAGGAGGAGGAGGACAAGGAGTTGTATAAGGATTGTCCAGAAGGAGGAGGAGGATCGAGGAGGAACAACAGGCAGGTTGATGAGAAGGTAAACGAGGAGGAGGAGGAGGAGGAGGAGGAGATGGAGGAGGAGGAGGAGGAGCAATGAGGAGGAGGAAGAGGAGAAGAAGAGGCGGATGATGACAAGCAGACGAAAAAAAAAGGAGGATGAGGGAGGAGGAGAGGATGAGAGAGAGGAGGGGAGGAGGAGGAGAGCCAAGGAGGACGAGGAGGAGAAGCAGAGGAGAGAGGAGGAGGAGACAGGGGAGGAGGAGACAGGGGAGGAGGAGGCGCAGGCGGAGGAGGAGGAGGAGGAGGAGGAGGAGGACGACGACGAGGAGGAGGAGGAGGAGGAAAACGAGGAATAGGAGGAGGACGAGGAGGACGAGGAGGAGGAGGAGGAGGAGGAGGAGGACGCGGCGAAGGAGAAGAAGAACCAAGAGATGAAGACGGGAGGCGAGAGAAGGAGTGAGGGTGAGGAGGAACATGGTCGTGCAGGAGCTGGAGGGAGGCAGCGGCCGCCAGGCTGTCAAGAACCACCAGGGTTCTTTCCTTGGCCTTTTTGGCTGTCCCCTCCTCTCCTTTCAGCCCTTTTCCCTGCTCCGTGGTTTGTCCGGACGCCTGAAGGTGTCTGCCCTTCTCCTCCCCTACCAACTCCTCCCCCTTTCCGTCCCCTCGTACTTCCTGCTCCTTCTCACGCACTTGGCATCGCTCGGACGTGTGCGTTTTCATTCGGCGAGGACCATCGGGAAGCATCCTGGCCCATCTCGCCAAGAATAAGCGCACGAGGCCGATAAGTGCACGGGGAATGGACGTCCGAGCGATGGCAAGGGCAGCAGTGGCGCATGCCGCTCTGAAGGGGCCCAAGCCTCGCAACTTATGCGCGGCGCTTGAGGGACAGTCGCGCCGTCCGCAGCCGCCGCGCCGTGCCCTCTGCGCTCGCGCTGGCGAACGGTCGAGGATTGCGAGGCTGAGGGGCTCTGCCCAGCTGCGCCCCCCCCCCCCCTCCCCCTCCTCCTCCTCCTCCACCTCCTCCTTCTCCTCCTCCTCCTCCACCTCCTGCCGCCTCCTCCTCCTCCCCTGTCCTCCCCTCCTCCTCGTCCTCCTCCTCCTCCTCCTTCTCCTCCTCCTCCTCCTTCTCCTCGTCCTCCTCCTCCTCCTCCTCCTCCTCCTCCTCCTCCTCTTCCTCCTCTGGCACCGTTGCCTTCCCATCGTGCCACCAGCGCGTGGACACCGACCCGACGGAGGAATAGGATCAAGATCGGCTCGGCGAGGATACCCTCGTGTTCTTCGTGCCTGCTGGATGTTCTTGTGCATCCTGGGGGGGGTTAGCCTTGGATGTTCTGTGCGTTTTGACCGACGGAGGGGCTCACGTTCTTGAGGGATGTTATTCTGGCCTAGGTCCGACTGCACGGCAGGTGGTAGTGGAGGTTTCAGGTTGGCGTTGGAAGGCGTGGGGGCTCATCCACCCAGCTTCGGGCGCACGGTATTGGTGCTAGAAGTATTGCCTGCTGGAGGCGGGGGGGGGCTCTACCGCCCAGCAGCAGGTGCATGGTTGTGGTCTCTCAGTCTGGCGATGATTATTGGCGCTCCGCGTATCCCTACCAGTGTGGAATTTGCCTGTTCCGCCGTCCCGGACTCGCCTGTTGCCGCCAGACCATTGTCGCGCGGCCGCCGACCAAAAAAGTATCCCTACCAGTCCACCCAGAAAAGATCTCATGAAGCAAGGAGTGAGCGGACGAGGACAAGGAGGATGAGGAGGCGGCCTTGGTGGATCTGTTGTTGTGAGAAGCTTTTGGAGGACTCTTGGCGCCATCGTGGGGCCCTCTTCGGGTCCCTGTGGGGCCTCTTGGAGCAGATTTGGGGACCTCTTGGGGTTCTTTGGGGGGTCTCTGGACCCTCTTGGGGATCTTCGGGGGTTCGGGGGCCCTCTTGGGACGGTCTTGGGGTTCATAGACGACAGATGAGAAACAGTTCAATTCTTGACGCTTCGCGTATCCCCACCAGCCCATCCAGTAACGATGCCCAGGCGAATGGAGGTGATCAGGAAAGTGAGGGAGCATACAGAGTAACAAAGGGCTGGGGAACCCTTCTTACCCAAGACGGCGAGGATGGAGGAGGAATCGGAGGAGGATGAGGAGGAGGAGGAACTGAAGGAGGAGGAGGGGGAGTGGGAGGAGGGAGGAGGGAGGAGGAGCAATGGGCGGATGAGGAGGAGGAGGAGCAGGACGAGAATGAGGAGGAGGATGAGGAGAAGGGCGAGCAGAATGGCCAGAGGCCTCTTGGATGCCTCTCGGAGTCTCTTCGGATGTCTCTTGGGAGCGTCCTGAAGGCCTCTTAGGGCGTCTTGGGAGCGTCTTGGCGGTCCCGGAGGCCTCTTGGGGAGCCTCTTGGGGACCTCTTTGGGCCATCTTGGGGCCATCTTGGGGCCATCTTGGCGCCTCTTGGGGCCTCCTGGGCGCCTCTTGGGGCCATCTTGGAGGCGATCGATCAAAGAAGAGGGTGGGGTTAATTAGCCCCGCCCCTCTAGATCCTCTAAAATCGCCTCTTGGGCTCATCTTGAGGCGCTCTTGGAGCGCTCTTGGGCGCCCTTGGGGCCGTCTTGAGGCTCTCTTGGGCCCCTCTTGGGGCTGTCGTGGGCCCTCTTGGAGCCATCTTGAGGCCTCGGAAGGCCATCGGAAGCGAAAAGGCGAGAAAGCAAAATTCATTGGTTTTCCTTAGGTTTTTGAAGGATTTTGGCCTCTTGGGGGGTCTCCTTGGAAGTCTCGGAGGCCTCTTGGAGTTGTCTTGGGGCGATCTTGGGGCCTCTTGGAGCATCTGGGGAGCCATCTTGAGGCATCTTGGGCTATCTCGAGGCATCTTGGAGGTCATCTTGGCGTCCCTTGGAGCTGTCTTGGGCCATCTTGGACGCTCCAACTCGTCGCGGAACCCCCCGTCCAGGTCCAGGGGAGGGGGTTAGGGGGAGGGAACCCCTCCCCGAAGGGGAAGGAGGGAAGATGGAAGAGGAAACTCCCTAAACCACCTACGCCCAGAGGGCTGGTGGGATTGCTCCCCCCCCCTCGGAGGCCAGGGGAACCAATGTGTTTGCCTGGGCAACCTTGGACCATCTAGCCCCTTGGGAGCCCCCCCCCCGTCCAGACCCAGGGGAGGGAGTAAGGGGAGATGTCACGCCACCCCAAGCCGCAAGCCCTGCCGCTCAAGTCGCACCCGATTCTCAGCACAGGCAGGGACCGCCATCAACGACCATCGGGAACCAATGCAAACGCCAGCCAGGTGCACGATGCCCGCGAGGTGCGCTGCACGTGCCAGGTGCACCACGCGCACCAGGTGCGCCACATTGGGTCATATGCCGACCGCCCCAGCAGCCCTCTCAAAAACCAGTGCAAAATGACGGCGGGATCGCGAGCATTGTGTACTGCGTGTGGGTGTGCACCCTGAATCACTACGTACTTGCTGTTGAACCCCGCCGTCCTTCGCAGGGTGAATCCTGTTGCCTGCTGAAAGAACAGTGGACTTGCACACAGCAGGTAATATGGCGCAACCTCCGCCGTCCTAGTCACAAACAGATGCAACATGATCACGGGGCGACAGCGCATGATGCAGATTTTGGTTTAAAGTGCATGTTGTACGGTTATCAGCTAGGGATGATTGGAGGGTCTTGGCATAGCAGACAGTAAGCAACTTGCTGGCGACTTCGCCGTTCCTGGCAAAAACGAAGGCAAAGTGATCGCGGCGCGTCCGCGCATGATCCAGATTTTGGTGCAACGTGCATTTTGTATAGTTTTTCGTACAAGGAATGGTAGGGGAGCGCTGGCATTGCATGTAGCAGGCAATTTCCCGGCGCCCCCGCCGTCCTTGTCAAAAACCAATGCGTAATGATCGCGGCGCGTCCGCGCATGACCCAGATTCCTTAGCAAAGTGCTCTTTGTATTGATTGTGTTGACGAGGATGGTGGGGGGTGTTGGCATGGTCCCGGGTTTGTCGCCGGTCGGGTGGCGAAGGAAGGGAACCTACCAGTTCGGAACAATGCCAGACCCCTCCCCTGAGCAAGGGAAGCAGGGATTTTGGAAGATGGAAGAAAAACAACTCGTTATCCCACCTTCGCTCATAGGGCTGGCGGGATTTTATGGCACTATACTGGCACTGGCTGTGCATCTTCGTCCTTCCCGCGTGAGCTTGGCTATGTTCGCACCGCTGCAGGTCTTTGATCTTGCATACTGCACTGCGTTGCTCCACGCTTTGACTCCTGAGGGAGACGCCATCTTTTATTCACTTCAGTATTCAGGGCGGGGGGGGCTCCCCCGCTCAGCCGCGGGTGCATGGTGATGATGTTTCTTCGAAGCGGTGCACGTTGGAGGCTGGAGGGTTCTACCGCCCAGCCGCAGGCGCACGGTGGCAATGACAAGTACAGCAAACCCACGAACCGAAGAACAACCCCCCAGTCTTCTGAAGAACACCCCCCCCGGACTTCTGGCGCGCATGGGCTTCCTGGCGCCGTCTGTAAACCACGCTGCCACTGGCTTTGGAGATTTTCCAGCACTGCGAAGTTCGCAGTGATCTACAGCTCTGGAGGGCCATGTTCTTGCATAATTCAAGCGCTGGGCTGTTGCGCCTGAAGAGGGCGGCGCCATTCGAATTCTTACCTCCAGTGCTGCCACTTTGAGGCTGGGATGCTATGTCGTCCAGCTGCATGAGCATGGCAGTGGCGTCTCAGTACTTCGGGTATCGCCTGATGGAGGCTGGGAGCCTCTACCGCCCAGCCGCAGGTGCACGGCGGTGGCTTCACTGCAAAAGGCGGAACAAAAAGCCCGCATCGGCGTTATGGTGACATCTGTGAGGCACTCCACTGCTGCCAGCTGTGTTGCTGTGTGTTGTCGCGCACCTAACTTGTTGTGGTGCTCCGTGCTTGCGCGGATGGTCGCGGATGGTCGCGGATGCAAGGTTTGCCCATCGCACGCCTCTGTCATTGAACGTTGACACGGTTCGATTGCGGCGTGTTGGATGCCACCCTTCCGTTGCGCGTAGCCTCCTGTACGAGCTGTGCTATCCACTCGGCGCAGCCGCTGCCTGGAGGAATCCACCTGAGGCTGTCCGTCGAGCGGACCCCCCAAGATCCTGACAAGGGGGTGAACAGTAAAACGTTGGCTTGGCGGCCTGGCGACACCGTCGCTGACTGCGTCCTGCGCCCTGTCCTCCTCCCTGCTTCAGGCGGGCGCGCGCGCGCGCCCCCCGCCGTGGGATCTGGTGGGCCCCGATCGCGTGCGAGGGAACCCTGTCGTGCCCTGCGCGCGGCTCCTCCCCTGAAATGTCGGCCAGGCGGATTGTGCCCAGGCCCTGACGTTCGACGAGGAAGGGGAGGAGGAGGAGGAGGAGGAGGAGGAGGAGGAGGAGGAGGAGGAGGAGGAGGAGGAGGTGGAGTAGAAGGAGGAGGAGGAGGAGGAGGAGGAGGGGGAGGGGGAGGGGGAGGAGGAGGTGTCAGGTGGCCGCTCGCAGCCCCACGCTCCACGGCCTCGGAGCCTGCGGAACCACGCTGCCGACGCTTCTCTGCCTGCCGGGCAGGCCCGGCGGGCGACACGCCCGCCCGACTGCCACGACGAACGCGCTGTGTGTGTGTCCAGCGTGGCACCTCGCCCGGGGGACGCACGAGCTTACCATGTCGGGGAACGACCAGTGACATAAACATATAACTCGGAGGTCGACTTCGCGGATTGGCGCTGGGGGCTCCTGGCGGCGCCTCCGGCGCCGCCCTTGGCGCTCTCCGCGCGCCAGGGAGGGGGGGTCCAGGGCGGATCCAAGAATGTCGGACGAGCCTCCGAGTTGTTATGTAGCTTTTCGTTCCCCTATATCAGAGGCAGCGGCGATTGGAACTTTCCTTTCCCTCTCAGGGTCTGATTATCTCTCCCTCCATCCCGCTTGCCTCACGCCTCCTATCCTGCGAGATTCACACGCACCTGTGATCATGCTCCTCTCCCACCCCAGCATCAGGTTCCTTACCCTCAGCCTGGCGGGTACTATGGTGGACTCTTGCGTGCTGGTTGGGATATTTGCACGCTCGCATTCCTAACTGAGAACATTACGTTCACATGGCGCACGCGAACCATCATACCATGGCCAAGCTACCCTCGACTGAATCGTTATGAACAGCGGCATGGACAGCCTAGTTGGCACTACGATAGGTTGAAAGCCGATCAAGGCTACATCCCCTCCTCGCCGATCGTCTCCGACACCACGTACACACGTGATGCATGTAACTTGTACGGCAACGCTCACGAGTGCGACGACAGCTCCGTTTGTAATCATCGTATCCGTACGAAGCATACTTCTGGTCCAAAGGGTTAGAACTCTCTTTGCCGTTTCTTCCACGTTTCGCTGGCTCGACCCATGAAGTTGATCCCGGCCCTCCAGGTGGGTTTCGAACCCCACAGGGAAGCATTTATTGCTTGCCACAACAGCTACGTCGACAGGGAGCTGCCTAGCACAACATCACGGTGCTCGTTCTGAACATAGCCATGTTCACCCTTACTATTGGCATGCCGTCAGAGATTCTGAGGGCAATCGTGTTGGAACCCTATTTTGCGATCGAGACTTGCGAGTTCCTTTTCCGGGGAAGATGTCTGCCGAGGCCAATTCGGAGGCAGCAGAAGCATACACGAAAGAGCATAATAACCATAATATCGCAACCCTCGCTCACCCACGCGTTCATGTATGGAACGCCTGGGCCCAGGTGGCCAAAGCGAAGGGCCAAGTGAAAGGAGTGAACCCACCTCAAGGAGCGAACCCTGACGCGTAGGCGTAAACGAAGAAATCCAACAGTCAGGAGCCGGCCGTTTATCGACACGACTTGATGAAGGAGCTCCGCTATGCCCGATGAGGCCAGACGTACGGCAGCAAAGCGAAGAGGCCTGAATGCATTACGGATGCGAGGGGCCGACAGGTACGACCTATACCACAATGTCTTCGCACCTGTCGTGATCTGCGAGAACGCCGTGAAGATCGAGGGAGTGGCCCCGCCAGGCGATCTGCAGCGCAAGGCCCATGTGGCCACCGACGACGCCGTGAACACACGAGCGATCACCATGCTGACCCAGGTGCGTCTCGCGGCCAGCAGAGAGACAGGTTCTTCTCCTCCCCCCCTCCTGCTCCTCCCCCCTCCCCCCTCAGTGTGCTCCAAGGAGTGCAAGTGTCTGCGGGCTTTCAGAAGTCTCGTCGCAAATACATGCCCCAACAATTTCGAACACTTTCGAACGACCTGGACGCACAGTAAGAAGGGCTGTGCGCGCTCGTGTTGAGTGTATGAGCGCACGGCGTTCGCAGCCCTTCGTACCTCAAGCTGGTTCTAAATTTGCGTAAACACATAATTCTGCGGGCCTAACTTGTAATACCCCTATCACAAGTTGCGCTTCTGTGAGCATCATAGCCTCTGCGCAAGTCTTTCCACCCCAGGATGGACTACAGGCATTCGGCTCGTCGGTCTTGTGAGTCGCCACTATTTGCGTTACTCGTATATGTTCACACGTCGATGTCCTTTTCTTTCCTTCCCGCACCTGCCCCTCCTGCCCTCTCCGTCTCCTCCGCCTCCGCTTCTTCGTCTCCCCTCTCTGCCCTTCCCATTATCGCCGTTTTTCCGTTGTTGCTTGTTCTCTCTTGTTTCTCGCCCGTATTCTCATCAGCATCACCATCATCAGCATCAGCATCACCATCAGGACAACCGCCATCACCACCATCATCATCAGCAGCAGCATCAGCATCATCAACTCATCATCATCATCATCATCATCATCATCATCATCATCATCATCATCATCATCATCATCATCATCATCATCATCATCATCATCATCATCATAAGCAGCATTACCATCCTCATTATTGTCAGAAGCATCATCATCATCATCAGCATCATCATCATAATCACCATCATCATCAGCATCATCACCATCATACCTCTGATTATCATTCCCATGATCGTCACAATCGTTCCCTTCTTCGTTCATTGTCTTCCTCTTTATCGCTCCTCCCCTTGATCGCCCCTCGTCGGCTCCTCCTCCTCCTCCTCCTCCTCCTCCTCGTCCTCCTCCGCCTTCTCCTGCTCCCTCCTCAATTTCTCCTCTTCCTCCTTTTCCTCCTCCTCCTCCTCCTCCTCCTCCTCCTCCTCCTCCTCCTCCTATCCTCCCTCTCTGCCTCCCTCATCCTCCCTTCTCTTCCTCCTCTTCCTCCTCCTCGTTTTCCTTCTCATCCACCTTTTCTCCTCTTCCTCCCTCCGCCTCCTCCTCCTTCCTCCTCCTCCTCCCCACCGTCCCTCCTCCTTCCTCCTCCTACTCCTTCCTCGCCTCCTCCCCCTCCCCCTCCTCCTCCTCCTCTCCTCCTCTCCTCCTCCTCTCCTCCTCCTTCTCCCCCTCCTCCGCCTCCGCCCCTTCTCCTCACTCCTGCCTCCTCCTCCTCCTCCTCCTCCTCCTCCTCCTCCTCTCTCCTCCTCTTCCTCCTCCTCCTCCTCCTCCTCCTCCGCCTCCGCCTCCACCTCCTCCCTCCTCCTCCTCCTCCTCCTCCTCCTCCTCCTCCTAACTCCCTCCCTCCCCTCCCTCCCTCCCTCGTTCTCTCCCTCCTCCCTCCCCCCCCTCCTCCGCCTCAGCGGCCCGAGGAGAAGAGCCAGCGCCAGCCAGAGCTCGTCCGGGGCGTGGCCCGGCCAAGCTGCTGCGGGCAGAGCCAGCTCGGCCAGCACGGGGCGGCCTGAGGCGCTCGCGCACGCGGGCCCAGCGAGCGGCAGGGTCGCCCCCCGCGCCTCCAGGTGGTGAGGGCCTCTTCCTCCTCCTCCTCCTCCTCCTCCTCCTCCTCCTCCTCCTCCTCCTCCTCCTCCTCCTCCTCCTCCTCCTCCTCCTCCTCCTCCTCCTCCTCCCCCTACCTCCTCCTCCTCCTCCTCCTCCTCCTCCTCCTCCTCCTCCTCCTCCTCCTCCTCCTCCTCCTCCTCCTCCTCTCCTCCTCCTCCTCCCCCTCCTCCCTGCTCCACCCCCTCCCTCCTCCTCCTCCTCCTCCTCCTCCTCCTCCTCCTCCTCCTCCTCCTCCTCCTCCGCCGCCTTGCCCCACCCGCCCTTCAGCGCATGCAGATGGACAGCGGGGCAGCGACTGAGTTTGAGTGGCCACGTGAGGTGGCAAGGCAGCAGGATCCAGCAGAATCCCCGCCCCGACCGCTCGCCAGTTCCTCCCGGGGCTCTCAGCGCCGTGCGGCGGCCTCCATCCGCCCCGCCGTGTCGAGATCGCTTCCCGCTTCCCGGGGAGGCCGGGGTTGTCCTAGGCGGCCGCCCGAGTCGCCGCTTGTGGCCTGGACGCCCAGGGAGGGCCATGGAGGGAGCGGTCCCCTCCCCTCCTTTTCCTCCCCCTTCTCCCCCCTTCACAGTTACACAATATGAATAGTACTCTCCCTCTCTCCCCTGGTGACGTCGGGGAAGTCTGCGGCCCCCCTCCGACTGTTTTTCCCGGAAAGGGCTTGAGCCCAGGGTTCTCTTTTAGATGGTTTCCCCCCGGGTTTGACGGGAAGAGGGCCGGCGAATTTCTTTTGCGATAAATATCGAGTGGGAAGAGGGCCGGCGAATTAAAATTTGAGGATGTCCCTAGCGAAACGCTTGTTGTTCAGAATTTGTTGAGGATGTCTCGAGCGAAACGCTAGTTTTGCAGAGTTGGGGATGTCTCGAGCGAAACGCTTGTTTTCAGAATTTGTTGAGGATGTCTCGAGCGAAACGCTGGTTTTGCAGAGCCGACCGCGACGCGGAAAAGCGCCCCGCGCGCAGGAATTCCGATGATGTTTCGCGCGTGCCGCGTCCCGCGCGCAGGAATTTCGACGATGTCTCGACTAATTCGTTTGTTTTGCTAGGATTTCCTTGAATTTTGGCAGGATGTCTCGAGCGAAATGCTTGTCTTTCATAATTTGTTGAAGACGTTTCGAGCGAACCGCTGGTTTTGCAAAATTGGGGGATGTCTCCAGCGGGGGCCTCGTGGGGGGCCTCGTGGGGGTCCAGAATTCAGAGGATGTCTCAGGCGAAATGCTTGTTTACACGTCCCGCTCGCAAGAATTTCGAGGATGTCTCGCGCGTCCGCGCCCCGCGCGCAGGAATTCTGAGGATGTTGGCAGGATGTCTCGAGCGAAACGCTTGTCCCCAGCACGTTCCCGTAGCGCGTCCCCTTGGCACGTCCCGCGGTGCGTGCCCATGGCACGTCCCCTGGCACGTCGCTTGGCGCGTCCCTTGGGACGTTCCGAGGCGCGTCCTCCTGGCATGTCCCCTCTGTCTATTAGCTCTGGGGCAGCTACTATGTGTTCAGGCAGCTCGAGCTTAAGATTCAGATCAGGACTCGGATGCAAAGGAGGACTCGATCCACGAGGCTATAGAGCAAAATCGCGGCATGGCACATCGCAAGTCAGCACGGCGCAGCACAGCACAGACTTCGGCACAGTACATCAAGATCGATAGACTCAGCATTGCAGCTTGGCACGTTCCTTGGCACGTTCCGTGGGGCGTCCCTTGGCGAGTCCCCCTGGCACGTCGCGTGGCGCGTCCCCTGGCACATCCCGTGGCACATCCATTGGCACGTTCCGTAGCGCGTCCCCTTGGCACGTCCCGCGGTGCGACCCCATGGCACGTCCCCTGGCACGTCGCCTGGCGCGTCCCTTGGGACGTTTCGCGGCGCGTCCTCCTGGCATGTCCCCTGTCGATTAGCTCTGGGGCAGCTACTATGTGTTCAGGCAGCTCGAGCTTAAGATCCAGATCAGTTCGGTCAGGACTCGGATGCAAAGAGGACTCGATCCACAACGCTATCTAGAGCACAATCGCGGCATGGCACATCGCAGTTCAGCACGGCGCAGCACAGCACAGATTTCGGCATGGTACATCAAGATCGATACACTCAGCATTGCAACTTGGCACGTTCCGTGGGGCGTCCCTTGGCGAGTCCCCCTGGCACGTCGCGTGGCGCGTCCCCTGGCACGTCCCGCGGCACGTCCATTGGCACGTTCCGTAGCGCGTCCGCTTGGCACGTCCGCGGTGCGTGCCCATGGCACGTCCCCTGGCACGTCGCTTGGCGTGTCCTTTGGGATGTTCCGCGGCGCGTCCTCCTGGCATGTCCCCCTGTCGATTGGTTCTGGGGCAGCTACCATCTGCTCAGTCAGCTCGAGCTTAAGATCCAGATCAGTTCGGTCAGGACTCGGATGCAACGAGGACTCGATCCACAACGCTATCTAGAGCACAATCGCGGCATGGCACATCGCAGTTCAGCACGGCGCATCACAGCACAGATTTCGGCATGGTACATCAAGATCGATACACTCAGCATTGCAACTTGGCACGTTTCCTGGGGCGTCCCTTGGCGTGTCCCCCTGGCACGTCGCGTGGCGCGCCCCCTGGCACGTCCCGCGGCACGTCCATTGGCACGTTCCGTAGCGCGTCCGCTTGGCACGTCACGCGGTGCGTGCCCATGGCACGTCCCCTGGCACGTCGCTTGGCGTGTCCTTTGGGATGTTCCGCGGCGCGTCCTCCTGGCATGTCCCCTCTGTCGATTGGTTCTGGGGCAGCTACCATCTGCTCAGTCAGCTCGAGCTTAAGATCCAGATCAATTCGGTCAGGACTCGGATGTTAAGGAAGACTCGATCCACGACGCTATGTAGAGCACAATCGCGGTATGGAACATCGCAGTTCAGCACGGTGCAGCACAGCACAGCCCCTGGCACAGTACATTAAGATCGATACATTCTGCATTGCATTTGCCCGTCGCCCAATCAAGTGTCTTTGAACAGTTGCCATGCCTTACATTTCTATATTCTTTTCCGGGTTCGTGGGTCGATCATGTTTAACACTGCGGGGAGTTTTGTGTCGCTTGGGCTTGTTTTCAACATGTTTTCCCGCTGAAGCTCCGCTCGTTCCGAATCGTGCTCCCGCTGCAGCGCCGGCCTCATTTCGGCGCTTCCGCTCGTTCCGAATCGTGCTCACGCTGCAGCGCTGGCGTCATTATTCCCAGTGCCATGCCACGGCATGCAATGCAATGTGGTGCTCCGCTGTGCGATGCCATGCGTTCAGCTGCTATGCTAGGTCATGCAGTGCTTGACGATGCAGTACCACGCCATGTTATGCCATGCTACGTTTTGATCTTCAACGCCATGCTAGGCCACGCTCTGCTCTGTTCCGCTGTGCGATACCATTGCTTGCGTTGCAATGTTTTGTGATGCAATTCTTCACTACGCAACGCCACGCCATGCTATGACATACTACGCTCTGTCGTGGTCTCCTACGCCCTGCTATGCCGCGTTCTACGATGCATCGTGCACCCTCCTGGGGTCATTGTCGTGCTCGACATCCGACTGTGCGAGTAGAGAGGATATCTACGCCATGGTAAGGGATGGGAGGGAGGGGTATGACGTCAGATATGACGCGAGCGCACCTAGCTTGCCTCCCTCCCTTCCCCTCCCCTCCCTCCGCTCCCTCCCTTCCCTTCCCTCCCTCCCCTCCCTCCCCTTCTCTCTCCTTCCCCATTCTCCCCCCTCCCCCTCCCCTCCCGTTCCCCTCCCCCCGCTTTCCTTCTCGGGAGGGCGGATGGAGGAAGGGGAAGAGGAGGAGCAGGAGTGACCAAGTGTCTTCCCTCCCCCTGTCTCCCCCCCTCCTGGGCCTCCAGGCCCCATGGGCCAGCAGCGGCAGCACGGCCTCGCGCAGCCCTGCCGTGGCCCCAGCACCCGCCCCTGCTGCCAGGACGAGTGGCCGCGGGGCCCAGGCGTGAGAGAGTCAGACTGAGACCCTCCCCGTCTCCCACCCTCCCCCCCTCCATCGTTCCCCCTTCTTCCCCGCTCTCCTCTCTCCTCTTTCCCCTCTCCTCTCTGCCCTTTCCCTCTCCCCCTGCCCCTCCAACCCACCCTCGCCCTCTCCTCCCCTCCTCTCCCCGCTGGTCCCACTCCGCACTCCTCAACCACACGCAAATGTATCGGTACCGCTTTGCGGCACGCCATTCAAGTTTCGCAACGCTGGCGGCGACATACAGGAGCCTTCAAGGTGGGAGTCACGGCAGGCCTTCGGGTAGCATGCGGATTCCCAGACCAGTGCGGGCTTCTAGGATGGGCCAAGTAGGTGTTCGCGGGTACCTTCTTCGGCACGGACTCTTTTCCCCAACCATCTTGTGTTGGGTCCTCATTTTGAGAAGACCGCGCCCCGCGTTCTCCAGTCCTCCAGCTCCCCTTCTCCCTCCTCCATGCGTGCCTCTGCCCTCCGCATGTCCGTTTCGGCACTCTGCACTCCGCATGCCCATATCGGCACACCCTCCACACGGCTCGTGGCCCCAAAGGGGGATTCCACCCAAGGCCCAAGTGGCCGCGTTCACATGCGTCCACCCCGCCCACCGCATGCCCATTTCGGCACACCCCTTACACGGCTCGCGGCCCCAAAATGAGCATGGCGCCCAAAACCCCAGTGGCAGGGTTCGCATGCGTCCACCCCGCCCACCGCATGCCCTTTTCGGATCACCACGCACACGGTTCGTGGCCCCACAGGGAGTTCCACCCAAGGCCCCAGTGGCCGCGCTCAAATGCGGCCACCCCGCCCACCGCATGCACATTTCGGATCACCCTTTACACGGCTCGTGGCCCCAAAGGGGGATTTCACCCAATGCCCCAGTGGCCGCGTTCACATGCGTCCACCCCGCCCACCGCATGCCCAGTTCGGATCACCACTCACACGGTTCGTGGCCACACAGGGAGCTCCACCC